TGCAGGGGGGTGACAGTGCTGTGACACCCCAGTTATTCCAGGGAAAGGGGAGTGCTGGCAGCACCGCAAGCAGATGGGAAGACATTGATGCTCCCCAGGGCTTCACACTGCAATAGTCAACCTGCGGTCATTGGCTTTAGGTTTTTTTTTTTTCCTTTTTTTTTTATTGTGTAAATTGATAACCATTTTTTTCACAACAGTGCAAGTAAATACCAAAGTCAGCCCATTGAAATGGATCATCTACAAAAGAAATTTTGAAGCACTTAAGGCAAGATTTGTTCATCTCTAGCTTCAATTTAGCATTGAAAAAATATCAGACCTTCAGCTATTGATTGGCTTGACAAAATTTATATGGGAATTTTTTTTATTTTATTAATTTTTTGGTTTAGTCTTGCATTTAAAAGATTTACATTACTATGGAAACTGATACTAAGACACATTTGTCTCCGGCTTTCTTTAAAAATCCTTTAGTTCTTGTTTGATTTTTAGATGTAAAGGCACACAATAAAGCTTTATGCATTTATTAAAATATACAGATTTTGGTAAATTTAGATTTTTTTCTTAGTATCTTGATTATATATATATATTATATGTATAGTTGTCAACAACACAATCATTTGAAAATAAAAATCACTCCATAACATATCTGCATGTTTTTTTTCTTTCTCATGACACACTACAAGATCCCATTGTACAATGCACCAATGGGCTTTTGGAAACCACAGAGAAAAAAAATAAATTAATAGAACAAACTTTTTTTTTTTTAACAAATACACCAATTTCATACCAGAACTGCAGAGAATTGTTACACCAGAAAGTACCATCTGAAAAAAAAAAAAAAAGCAAGATATACATCAGAAAGACCGAACAAAACGAAGTGAAGATCATTTACAAGCTGGATTTACAACATCCCATGTCGTTCGGGGCGTGATTTCTCTGCCGCGTGGAGGATGCCAGCGTGCTGGGCCTCGTAACCCAATGGTCGTAACGGTGTGGAGTGAATTTGTGGAGGAACTGAGATCTTGTAGAGTTGGTCTGGAAGGTTTGAGGTATTTATGCTCCGTCCGTATCATGCACTGGGCTCCCCCAGGGGCTTTGGGAGGGCTGTGTGCCTCTCACTGACGGTGGGAGCGGGGTGGTACCGCTCTGCCTGTGTCCTCCGTGTGCACCAGGGGTGTGAGAACCTTCCTGAGGGCACCCAGGGGGAACGGCTGGATTTAGGAGTTACAGCAAAACAATCACTTCTACCTCTTCCCAGCATCCGAAACCACTCCCCAGGGCCAGCGGTGCCCAGAGGCGATGGACATGCCTGAACGTTTTGGCCTTTGCAGCTTTTGCTTGTGCCCATCGAAGACCCGGGAAGGGGAAGGAGGATGGGTGAATGGGAACAAGAGTGGCTGAAGGGCTTCACTCAATGCACGGATCCAATGGAGAAATTCCTACAGAGGCCAAAAGCAAGGGATCAAGCCCTCGTCAAATTATACGGCATAACTAGAGCGGACATGACGACGGACACTGGTACTGGTTCACTGCTCCGTAGCAAGAGATTAAGGCTGCGGAAGGAATAACAGGCTTCGATTCAACAGGGTACTTGGGCATGAGTTTGCGGTTTGGCAGATGCCTAAATACCGTGCGGAAGCAGGATGAAGACGACTATTGGGGATACAGTATAGTACAAGAGCTGGTAGGAAAATAGCATCAATCTTTCTCCCTGAAAACGTAAAGCCAGACCTGCGAGGTGCCATCTCTCTTGGGTACTTCTAAGGCATCAAGGACGGGAGCAGCCAAGCACAAGGGAGAGGTGATCTTTGTGAGAGGTGCTTGGCATCGCCGGAAAGGCTTCCCACAAACAGCTTTTCAGCGGGACGCGCTCGGGATTTCTGCTTGTAGAAGCGTGGTATGGGCGGGCAGTGGGAGGGGATGCCAGAGCGAAGCTTACGGGTCCTTTTGCCAAATCCTCACTCCCATCCCGAAGCGCTCACGGAGGCCAAACTTCCCTTGGCTTGCCCAGGGTGCTCCGGGTTAAAACCTGCAGAATTGGATGCTCTGCTCCACTGGGAAAAGCACGTAGTTTGTGACCGTTTGAGACAGGAGCTGCAGGTGGGAAACTTTTGCAGCCAAGGCCAGAGCCTCCCCATTGAGCCCTTGACCCCCAGAAGAGATGGAGACGGGTGCGGGTCCAGGCACCCTCTGCCCTCAGCAGTCCCCTTGCCCACGAAGGGTGCCGGGCAGGCTCTGCGCTGTTTCCAGGGGCTGAGCCTCATCCAATGAACCAAAGCGTTGATGGTTCTCAGCATCACATGTTGGAAATCCTGCCTCATGCCCCTGTCGATGTTAAATTGTCCCGTGGGATGCCAGCAGCAGCCCCTGGTACTGGAGCTTGGTCTGGGCTGCCCCAGGGGAGCCCCAGGGATGGATCTGGCCGCAGCCTTCAGCAGTCAGGGAAGGATGGGTGCTGCAGCCTGGTGGGGCGCTTCCTTGGCTAGTATTTATTTAAAAAGATGTTCTTCTGTTGCAGTGTTTTAAACTAAGCAGGTTGGTAACGGGATCCAGACACGGACCTGCTGAGTGCCTGCAATGTGGTTGCTGTCTCTGCCAGGGCAGATGGCAGCTGTGATCAAACCCCATCGCCACTGACGGTGCCGCGGGGATGCCGGCAAGAGGGAATCTGATGGTGCTGCTGGAGGTCATGGCCATGCTCTGGCCATACCAGAGGGATTAACAATGAGAAATGTCCACCTGCTGACCACCTCTGCCCTGCAAGCCACCAGCTCCATTTGGTTTCAAATTGAAACACAGACATGTACAGGACAACCAGCATTTCACTGTTTTTTCATACAGCATCCACCAACCCAGGGTCAGAAACAGAGAAAACGGTACAAGGTGGAGATGGCAGCAGGGAGGGAGATTTCAGCAGCTGAGTCCTCTCTGCTTGCCGCATGTAGCCCAGCCCTGCCAAGATGTGGCTGACCCACAGACGTTGCTATTTTGTGGGGGCGTGGACACATCCTTGAAGCACCGAGGCCAGAGTGAGTGGCCTCACCACAGCAAGGGAATTATGGCGTGGTCATTTTTGTAAAAGACACAACGTGGTGAAAAAGAGCGCCCAGCCTCAGACCGGTGATGTTCAGAGAAACGGCGTGTGGTCCATGTTGACCCTTCGCACAAGGTAGGTTGAGCCAAGAGTGAGTCATCGCCCTCGCTGTGACCAGAAATGGGACCAGGCTCCCAGCTGCAGATTTAGGATATTGAGCCATGCTGCGATTTCACAGAATCATAGAATGGTTTGGGTTGGAAGGGACCTCAAAGATCATGTAGTTCCAACCCCCTGCCATGGACAGGGACACCTTCCACTACACCAGGTTGCTCAAAGCCTCATCCAACCTGGTCTTGAACACTTCCAGGGACGGGGCATCCACAACACCTCTGGGAAACCTGTTCCAGTGCTTCACCACCCTCAGAGTGAAGAATTTCTTCCTTATATCTAATCTAAATTTGCCCTCTTCCAGTTTAAAGCCATTTCAAGGTTTGATTGAGACATGGACTAGTTTTGAATCACAGTATTTGGGACACTTGGATTCGGGGTGTGGGGATGGACACGGGGACAGCACTGCTGTGTGCACCAAGTGCCTTTGTGCTGAACGGGCCATGGAAACGCTGTGTGATGGGACTAGCATCCCTGGATCCACCTCTGAGCTACTCCCTTGAAAGCGGTTTGTCCATCTCCGTTTCGTGCCTACCTACCCATCTGTCCCTCTGGCTCAGCTGTTACTTCTCAGGTGGTTCAAAGAAAAAAACACACACGCTAAGAAAGTGCCAAAAATGTAAGAGTGGCATCCCACCGCTGCAGCCGTTGGGTGGACATTCCCCGGGGACAACGTGTCTTGTCCCGTTATGCGGCTCCTTCCACCTCTCAACACCCTCCCAGTTTGGCACATCTCCCACTCCACTGCCTCCGCTGGTGCGGCCGGTGCTGGGAGATCAACCGGTGCTGGGGGATTGGCTGGCATTCATCAGAGCGAGACCTGACCGGTGGAGCCAGGATGGGCCACCAGTGTGTTTGGTTCAGGGTCAACGGCAATCGCAGAGCGTGTCCCGAGGACCAGAGGTGAGCAGGGGGGCGGTGGAGGACCTGGGGAGGACGGGACAGGATGGGGGAGCCGCGGGGACCCTTCCTCATCAACCGGGTGGCGCGGCACCCTGCTGCCCACCCCGCTACTCGGGTGAGTAGTCCAACTCATCGTTGGCAATGAGGGCCTCCGACGGCGGTTTGTGCCTGCCTTTGCTTTTCGACCTGCTACTCGTCCGATGGCTTTCCTTTGCTCCCGCCATTTGCTGGTATGAGAAGCCCTTGTCCTCGGAGGGACCCCAGCCTGGGTAGCCCTCATCCTCAGCAGCATAGGAGAAGCCGTCATCCACAGAGAAGGGGTCGACATCCACGTCGTAGCGCTGGTAGGTGCTCTGGTGGAGGGCCTCCTCCCGGGCACTGATTTCCAGCGTGCTGTTCCACATCCCGTATCCAAAGTAGATGAGCAGACCTGCGGCGGGCAAGAGGGTAAGGGTTGGACGCCGGCCACTCGCACTGGCCCCGTGATCCCAGCTAAAACATCACTATGAACATGTCATGCCCTTAACTGGCACCTGCCCCCCAAAACCCACGTTGCGGGGGTTGGAAATCCAGCCCAACGTCCTCCCACCCAACGCTGGGCTGCGTGAGGGTTAAGTGTATCTAAACATACCTGCATTTTTTAAGCCAGTGTATTTTGTAGTTGATGTCTGCTCTTCAAACCCATTGAGTTTGTGTTTTCGGGCCGCCAGCTGTGACCCGAGGGCTGTGAGTTTTAAACATCAGCTGGGATCACTGCCAGCCACGTGACTGTACCATCTGCAGCTTCCATGGGACAGCAGTTCCCAGCAGACGTGTGGAGGCTCCCAAGAGCCAACAACTGCATCTCCATCCTGTTACTCTCCCAGCTACCCTTTTCTCTCCGGAGCTTTCTTATGCTCAGTCTCTCTCCTACTGGTGCTTGCAGCCACGCGTGCCCCAGGGTTGTCAGGATGAGTGTGTTTGGTATTAAAACAGCTCTGAAATCCTGTCTTCCTCCCTTCAGGAGTTTTATTTCATCTTCTCCCTCTAGCCCTACCTGATCTCACCTTCCTGCACCAAGGCTTTCCCTGGATATCTAATTTCCAGTGGATCAGATCATGGGATTAATCTACCCCAGATGTGCACAGAGAAACCCAGGCTTCTCCACTTGCCATGGATTGGCCACAGGGGACTGTTCATGAAGTTAAATCCAGAGTCTGTGTGGCAGGGCCGCAAATGCCACAAAAACAAATGGGATGTGTCTCCCCAATAGGTGAACAGGTGTGGATGGGGTTGGTGGCCATCACACCCTAATGGAGAGGCTTAATTGACTCGTTGCCTTTGCTGGGAGCTGAAGAGGTATTAGATGTACCCACAGGAGAAAGTATTTAGTCGTAGCAGATTAAATTGATGCTTTGGAGTCGCTTTCCTTTCACTAGAAGGGCTTTCCCCGGGTCTGCAGATTCACCTATTGCCTTTGAGGGTTGAATAAAGCATGAGCACATCTTTTTGAGCCCAAAGGATGCACATGGCAGCTACTGATCAATAGCTTGGCTTGGGGTTGGGGGACTCTCAGAGATGGAGCTTTGCTATGGGACCTCAGTCACACAGGACTGACTCAGGGCAATTGCTGTCCTCACCCTGAAGCAAAAGAGAGAATGGCAAAATGGAGGAAAAAAGGTGGTAGCAACCTCCTGCAAAAAAAGAGACTACTCTAAACTTCTGAGATGCCACAGGGAGATCAAAGGTCTGTTCATGTAATCTCCTGGTTCTGCCAACTGAAGTCAAACATCTACAAACATCAGGACGCACCTGAGAAAAGCATGAAGGCTGGTGAACCCAGTGTGGTGGCCCGTGCCTGCCCACCCCTCCTCCAGGAGAAGCAATTCCTGTCTTTATGGGAGGTGCCAGCTGACCATGACCTTTGCATCAATCCTCATTCTCTTTCCCCACCACTTTCTCCCTCTCAACCCAGGACCCTGCTCCCGCAGGGGAGTGCTGCTGGTGGGATACTTGGCCAGGGATGGTCCTTTTGGGTGCTAGCACCATGCTCAGGGTCTGTTGTCTGCCACTGGGGCTCCTGTGGTCTGCTGCAATATATATGTTTACCCATAGGGTTATTATTTCTCTGTAAAGAGTCCTTGGCTTTTGATATTGTCTTGTTGCTTCATTTCTCTCTAGTCCAGAATCGGGAGCCTTCAGGAGGAGCTATGAAAGCTGCTCTTTTTCTCTTTGGTTTGTGGAGTAAGAGGGTCGCAATGTAAAGCAAGGGAAACTACGGACATGCCAGGCTCCTGGCCATGCACCAGGAAGCATAAACTTGGCAAAAAACGGTCCACGAGAGAGCCTGTGAGTCCTGAGATCCCCCTGCCACAAAGCTAAGGACTTAGACAAAGAAAAGGAGATACAGTCCAACTCTCACAGGGCTGTTGGGGCTGGGCAGCTCTGGGTTTTGCAAATGCAGTGCTGAGATTTCGGTGTGGGCTGCTGAAGAGCTCAAGTGGGTGAAATAGCAAAAATTTCTGTAGGAAACCTGCCTGCAAGGCAATTTCCAGAACCCACCTACTTTGCCTCAAAAGACTCATCAAAACAGTCACCTTTGGAAGGAGCAGTTTACTTCCATCAAACTGACATTTTCTGGAGGTGTAATTTTCCATTTAGCTGTAGTTCGAGGGCTCGATTAACCGAGGTTTCTAAGAACTTCAAGATGACAAGGGGCAAATGCAAAGAACGGGGTATGAAGAAGCATCAGCCTAAGCACTCTAATTAGGGAAGTTATTATTAACATCCTTTCAAAAGAATGTCAGTTAAAATATTAAAATAAATGAATCTGGGACTCACCCACAAAACACCAGACAGCAAATCGGATCCATGTGACAGTGGAGAGCTTCAGCATGAGATAGATATTCACCAGCATAGCAAAGGCAGGGACGAAGGGCAGGCAAGGTGCCATATAGGGCAGCTTCTTGGGGTTTTCTGGCTGCTGCAAGATCACAAACACCAGCACAACGATGAGCAGGATCATCAGCACAACAAGGAGGACGGCCCACCAGCTCTGCTCGTAGATGTAGTCTGCCCCGAAAATGATGAAGGAGCAGAAGATGAACATCAGGACGAAGAGTAGGAGCACACAGGTGGTGACCGTGTGGCCAGTGGCTGCCGTGGGGCGGTCCATTTTCCCCGGCAGTCCAAGATGGATCCTCATCGTGTAGTAGCGAGGGCCGATCAACTTCTTCAGCTTGATGAGGTAGATGTTCTCAGACTCATCCGCCTCTATCCCTGAGGTCATGTCAACCGTGCCATAATTGGGATGATTCACGTTGTAGGTGGATTTATCGGATTTCCCAATTAGCATCTCATTATCCCCCAGCGACGGCAGATTTTTTGCCCCGCACGTGTTGGTCGGTGGGCCAGAGAACTCTTCTCCTTCACTCCCCGGGGAGCAAGCTTCCTTCTCGCAGTCGGCCAGGATGCCTTCCTTCTTCTTGGTGTGCTCCTCAGAGAGGAATTTGACGAAGCCGTCGATGTCGCTCTCGGGCTGGTATCGGAGGAGCAGGACGCAGACGGAGACCAGCGTGTAGGCGAGCAGCGTGCCGATGGACATCATTTCTATCAGATCCCGCAGGCTGACCAGCAAGGAGAGCAATGCTGAGAGGAATCCAGAGACGATACAAGCCACTACGGGAGTTTCCGTGTAGGAACTGATGTGGGACAAAAATCTGGAATGCGAAACAGTCACGAAAAGTTAAAATTGCAGATCACAGTGATTCCCTGTCACAATAACCCTTACCCAGCTGGAGGGGCCAGGCTCGGAGCTGGGAACCCTTCAGCTCTTACTGGTTTTTGGACCTTAGACTCCAGACAGCTCGAGATTGGAAATACTGAGGTCAGATCTGGATTTAGATCTGGGTCTAACCAGCTCCGTGCAGTCTGAAATGGCCACTGGGATACTCACAAGTGCCAAGATTTTATGCACATCAGCTGCTCTCCTTTGCAAGTAACTCTTGGGTTAAACACATCCTCCCGTGAGCTGAGTCTGTAGGTACCAGAGCCAAAAGAGAAACTTCTGCATAGATCTCTCCTGACTTTTTTCCCCCAGGATTTTGCTTTGGTGTGTGCCCCGTTCTGCAAGCACTGAATCTGTGTGTGCCTGCTGCTCCCTGCAGCGATGGCACCAGGCTGTCTGGGTGCAGGACAGTCCCCGTCCCTCCCAGACACTTCACCTTTGGGTCCCAGTGGGGCAAAAATAAATGCCAGCATGGGCATGACTGACCTGAAGAGCAGCCCATCACCAGCCATGGCGTAAATGACTCTCGGCATTGGGAAGAGGGAGCCCAGCAAGCTGACGGTGAGGCCGGCCACAGACCCGATGGCAACGATGAACTTGGCTGCGTAGAAGCCATGGGCCACAAACATCTCCATCAGCGGGGACTCCGTGTCGATGGCATCGTATGGCACCATCAGTGTGAGGATGATGCTCACCTGGGGAAGGCGAGAGGAGCAGGACACGGGTGTCAGCAGCAGCTCTGGGGACTGCTGGGGACTCACAGTGTGTGGGGAATGCTTCTCAAGGGTTGAAACCCAAAAAATGTCAAGTCTGATTGGGATCGTAGCCCTACGTCCCCTGTGGAGGGGATGTAAAGTGCTGGAGGTAAGGTCTGCACGCGCTTTGCTGTGGGGTGGTTAATCCAGGGAACTGCAGGGCCTCAGTCTCTGCCATCTGAAGGCAAGAAAGTGACACCTTGAACCTCGCTGTGGCGGTGGTGCAGGGGGGTGGTGGGACTTGGTGGGGTTAGTAACGCTCCATCAGCCACGTTCCTGTGCAAGCACAGCACCGCTGGAGTCACACACTTCCCATGGGACAGCCCCAAACCCAAGATGGCATCGCCTGGGGGAACAGGTCTTATTTGAGTCAAAGAGAAACTTGTTTCAAGGAAAGCTCACCATGCTGCAGTAGAGGCAGTGGGTGAGTTTCCTTGAAACACTCAGATCAATATTTTTTCTCCTTCACGACTCAATTTTGCTCTTTTACAGGGAAAATCCCTGAGTACAGACATGCATTTATTGGGGTGCTGAGCAGCTGGACATTGCTGCTACCACATCTCTTGCATGGCCATCCCTGCCCATCTTCCCCTTCACTTGGACCCTCTCCCACATCTCCGGCAGAGGTAGTGTTGCTTTTCCCAAAAAACGTGGAAAAAGGTTGCTGCAATGCTGCTGCTCCTTCAGCTTTGCTGCACTTCTGGATGCAAAAATAGCTGCGGATGGGGATGAGGCATGGGGGAAAAAACAGCTGCCACCATCTCCCTGCAGCCGGCAGAGGGATCTCGCGGCAGGGTGACGGGGCCTGGGGACAAAGCGGGCTGGGGACGAGGGGAGCCTCAGCAGGACCTGCAGTCACACGGAAACACAGCTGATGTCTCAGTTCCCATCAAAGAAAGGGCCCTTGTTGGAGGGTCAGACTGGCACCCTGGCTCATGGGGAGGGGAGCCGCGCAGATGCTCAGAAGGGACATGCTATATATATGTATATAAAATATATATAAGCTTACCTATATATTTATGTACATTTACTTATAGCCTCAGCAGGACCTGCAGTCACACGGAAACACAGCTGATGTCTCAGTTCCCATCAAAGAAAGGGCCCTTGTTGGAGGGTCAGACTGGCACCCTGGCTCATGGGGAGGGGAGCCGCGCAGATGCTCAGAAGGGACATGCTATATATATGTATATAAAATATATATAAGCTTACCTATATATTTATGTACATTTACTTATGTACAGCTAGTACTTACGGACACATATGCTGTCAAGCACGTGACGAGCGACGCCGTGATGGCGTAAGGGATGGAGGTGTTGGGACTCTTTGCTTCTTCTCCCGTGGTGGCGATGATGTCGAAGCCGATGAAGGCGTAGAAACACGTGGCGGCCCCTTTGAGCACCTGCGTGGAGGAGTGAGCGTCTGAGTGCCAGGAGGGAAGCTGGCACCCGGCCGGAGAGAGGGAACCGAGCGAAAATGAAGGAGCCCCTCCTCCCTTGTTGGAGCTAAAGGGTGAGTGGGGCGGATCGGCGGGGGGGGGGGGGGGGG